TTTTTTCACTAAATTTTACCGAGGAGTTTGCAGCGGAATTTAATTATTAATGCTTAGAACACTACTGCGCAGCTAAATATTGCTTAGAACGTTACTGCGCAGGTATATAGTGCATAGAACGTTATTGCGCAGCTAAATAATGCGCAGAACGTTACTGCGCAGGTATATAGTACGTATAACGCTAATGCGCAGCTTAATATTGCGCAGAAGGTTACTGCGCAGGTATATAGTGCGCAGAACGCTATTGCGCAGCTACAGAATGCGCACAAGTCATCTGCGCAGCTGAATATTGCGCAGAACGTTAATGCGCAACCACAGAACCTCAAAATTTGTCACAATTTTCAATTTCACTCAAAAAGTTAACCAAAAATAAGAAAATATAATTAAATAACAAAATAATAATAATTATCATTATACATTGATAAAAATTAATTCAAAAACTAAGGAGAAAGAAAAAAAGTGTCAAAAAATAGCACCTAAGTTCTGGAACACTTGACATTTTAGAAAGAACCCCCCCCCCCACCCCTCTCCTAAATCCACCAATCATTAACGTCGACATTTAAAGAGTGAATTTTTCACGAAATAGAGACGTCCAAAATGAACGGGAGAGAAGAAAATTGATACTATTATAATGAAACGTTTTAAAAGTGATTTGTGGCGTGTCTCAAATTACTATTACTCTCGTTTTAAGTCCAATATAGTTTCAATGTGTGTAAGTGTGTGCCCAACAACAAACACACAACAGTAAAAAGACTGCCCGCCAAAGGTGGATTTAAAGCGAAAATGTCAGTTTACGTAATGTGTATAATATAAACTCGCATTGAATAACTGGCACACACGCGGAAATCCATACGAATAATTTTCTATGGTCCCGCGAGAGAGGCGTATGCCTCCAGGGGAGCGGGCAGAAGAAGGACTTTGTGACAAGAGGAAGGGGAACAAGTTTTTATAAAATTTTTGTCCTTATCGACAAAAGTTATTTTCAATTATATTAAATTTTAAACAACAATATTGAAAATTAAAAAATTTCTTAATACAATTTTTCAACTGTATGTTTAATTTTTTTTTTTAATGAAAATTAAATATTTATTGTAATTTACACAATTTTTCATTATTTTTAACTTTTAATTGATTTTTTTCATTGTAGAAGGGTTATGCGTAAGGGTACAATGCGCAGAAGACTACTGCGCATATATTAAATGCGTAGGTCACTACTGCGCAAGGTTTCAATGCGCACAAGACTACTGCGCATATATAAAATGCGTAGGACACTATTGCGCATATATAAAATGCGTAGAAGTCTATTGCGCAAGTGTACGATGCGCAGAAGACTGCTGCGCATATATCAAATGCGCAGAAGTTTATTGCGCAAATTGTACATTGCGCAGAAAACTATTGCGCAAGTGGAGGACGCGCATAAACCTTCTGCGCACGTATAAATTGCGCAGACCTCCATTGCGCACTGTTTTTTATTTTTTTAGAAATAATTTCACCATCGCAATCGTGCACGTCATTCGAAACCGAAAATTGAAAATCTAATTTAACAAATTAAACCGAATTACACGAAAAAAAAAAATTATGAAAAGAAAGAAAAAAAAGGGAAAATATTTCCTTAAAAAAAAAAGTAAAATTTCCTTCTCTATTGAATTTGTGTAACAATTCCCGAAAATTGAACTAGTTTTGAAATATTATTTTTTAATTAAGCAATCATAGTTATACTATAATAATAATGTAATAAAATGCGTGTGACGAAGCGTGTGAGGTTAAGGTCAGTTTTCAGATGAAAGTGAACGCAATCCCATGAATTTGAATTGGAGTGAAAACGCGTTCAACGATTGACAATATACACATCCAAAAACCAGTCTAACTTTCGCTTCCGCCTTAAAATAAACATGAGAAGGTAAATAAGTATGGGCACCCAAATACACTGTTGAAAAGTATAGCAAGAAATTTAAAAAGAAAAATGTATATATATATAAAGTGGTTTTGGCAGACAGTAGCATTTACTTTTCTTTTAATGTTTCATAATCCGGAGGTTACACAAGTAAAATAACATCTCACTCAAGAGTCGGTCTACTTTAATTATATTTCCCATTTTTTTTTCTTCTTTTCTTTTCTTCACGAAAAAAACAATATTAACTTACTTCAAACTATATTATTATGAGATAATGTTGGAAATTATTCAATTATTATTTCCCTCTTGGTTCTTGTTTATTATTTCACGCAGAGGGGTGAAATCACTTGTGCGCAGGAGAAATGAATTATATTTGTCTAATTGGAGCCAATTGAGAAATATTATTCCTGTCTTATAACATCTTTACTAATTGTGTACTGTGGAATTTATAATGAAATAAGGAAGCAGGACTGTTTTTTCAAAAAAAAAAAAAAAAATTCGAACAATAATTATATTTCTAAGGAGAAAATTTTTTTCTCCCTCCGGAAAATGAAAAGTGGTAAAAAACAATCTTTAATATTTAATTCTTTTCATTTTTCCAAAAACAGTTGCGGAAATTAGTAACAAAGTAGAAGATGACCAAGAAAGTAGTGCAGAAGAGGATCAAAATGATACTCGAGAAGATGAAGATGTTACAGAAGAAATTCCACAAAAAGGTACAGAAGAAAGTAGAGAAGATGCTGCAGAAAATAATAAAGAAGACGCAGAAGAAAATACAGAAGATAAAGTACCAAAAGATACAGAAGATAAAGTACCAAAAAATACAGAAGATGTTGTATAAAAAGGTATAGAAGATGTACGATAAGATAAAGTTGTTGTAGGATAAATTACAGAAGATGCTGTACAAAATCAGAAGATCTTACAAAATATGATAAAGATGTTGTAGATGAAAATATAAAAGATGCTGTACAAGATGATACAAAATATGTTGTAGAAAATGTTACAGAAAATGTTGTAGAATAAGATAAAAATGTTGTAGAAGAAAATACAGAAGATGCTGTACAATACGGTGCATAATATGGTATAGAAAATGCTGTACAAGATGATGAAAAAGTAGTTGCACAAGAAAGTGCGAAGATGTTACAGAATAAGACAAAAATGTTGTAGAAGAAAATACAGAACATGCTGTACAAGACACAAAAAATGTTGTGGAAAATGTTACAGAAAATGTTGTAGAATAAGATAAAGATTTTGTAGTTAAAAATACAGAAGATGCTCTACAAAAAAGTACAGATTATACTCTAGAAGATGGTACAGAAGATATTGTGGAATAAGATAAAAATATTGCAGAAAAAAATACAGAAGGTAAAGTAAAAAAAGATGCAGAATATGTTGTACCAAAAAGTATAGAAATTGTAGAAGAAAATACAGAAAATGCTGTATAAGAAGAAACAAAAGATGTTGTAGAAAATGTTGCAAAAAATGTTACAAAAGAATTTGTAAAATATGATAAAGATGATGTAGAAGAAAACACAGAAGATGCTGTACAAGACGATAAAGAAGATGGTATAGAAAATGCTGTACAAGATGATGCAAAAGTAGCTGTACAAGAAGGTGGAAAAGATGTTATAGAATAAGACGAAAATGTAAAAAAAAGATTTTATTGTAAAAGAAAATACAGAAGATGCTATACAAGAAGACACAATAGATGTTGTAGAACATGTTACAGAAAATGTTGTAGAATAAGATAAAGATTTTGTAGTTGAAAATACAGAAGATGCTCTACAAAAAATATACAAATAATACTGAACAGGATGGTTCAGAAAATGTTGTAGAATATGATAAAGATATTGTAGAAGAAAATACAGAAGGTAAAGTAAAAAAGGGTACAGAAGTTGTTGTACCAAAAGGTATAGAAGTTGTAAAAAAAATACAGAAGATGCTGTACAAAAAGATACGAAAAATGTCGTGGAAAATGTTACAGATAATGTTGTAGAAGAAGATGAAGATGTTGTAAAAGAAAATACAGAAGATAGAATAAAAAAAGGTACGAAAGATGTTGTACCAAAAGGTATAGAAGATGGAGAATAAGATAAAGTTGTTGTAGAAGAAGTTACAGAAAATGCGGTACAACATGATAAAGATGTTGTGCAAGATGGTACAGAAGGTGTTATAAAATAAGATATAGATGTTCCACAAAAAAATACAGAAGATGCTGTACAAGAAGATACAAAAAATGTTGTAGAAAATGATACAGAAGATGTTGTGGAAAAAATTTTTTAAAAATTTTGAAGAAGATAGAAAAGATGTTCAGGAAGATGAAGCAAAGTATAAAATACTGACAAAGATAAACTTTGTAGATAGCAAAAAAATAGTATGATGGACATGATGAGAAAGGGGAAATCCAACATATGCTATAAATTATGCAAATTATTAACAAAAGATAGGAGCTACAAAACAAGTTAATGAAGACATTGAACATGATAAAGATGACGTGAAGGAAGATAAAGTAGCATCACCTCCTACTTCATCTAATTCATCAGCAGATGATGCAAATGATAGAATAACCTAACGTACCCCAAGTGACCTAAAAGTTTACTATGAATCAACATAATGGTGTAAAATATGTTTAAGGACATAATGATAATGATAATGTTGATGATGATAATGATAATAATCCTCCTTCACAAGGAGGTTAAAGAAAATTAAGGAGAAAATAAAAACAGGGATGAAGAACATCAGGAATCAGATGAAACAAGTAACCAAAAAGATCAAGAAGTAGATGAGTAAGTCACTAAAGAATCTCAAAGAAAACCCAAAGAAAAAAGTTGATGAAAAAAGATCAAGAAGCAGATAAGCAAAAATGACAAAGAAGGTCAAGAAGAGTTTACGTAACATCTAATAATGTTTTCTATGACAAATCGGGTGCTGTTCAAAGTCCAAAAAAAACTTTGATTTTCCCCCCAAGAAGAAGAGCTCATCACGTGAATAAATAATCCATAAACAAATGAAACAAAAAAACCGTAGGTAAAAAATAAGGCAAAAAACAAGATTTAATTTACATGTATATGGGACATTATTCCATAAATGTGAAAAAATCACTTACCGGTCTGCGAGATGACAGCCAGAACGAGCAAGAGGCTACTGCTGCTTAGAAACATCATCATCTTGTCTTTTCTGGTTTTTCTAAAACGTTTAAACTTTCAAAACTTTTTTATTTTCCCCAACTTCTTGTTTCTAAAACCGCAAAACAATCTTTCCCTTCCCCCGTGCACTCATTCATGCGACAATTGACTCCGTGAAGACACTTATTTAAAAAAAAAACCGCGCTCTTAAAATTCAGCAAAGCACGTGATTTTTTTTTGAGGAATTATTATTTTAAAAAATAAATACACTTTTCCGGGGTAAAAATCACACTTGTGGAAATAGGAATGATGATTTTTAAAATTAAAGAAAATTGAGATATAAAAAAAATTTTTTTTTTTTTTTGAAATGAGATACTAAGTGACAAGGAGCTTGTTATGGAGCGCCGTTCAAAGCCGCGAGAGCTCCATTCACGTCGCAAAACATATGCTACGGTCACGAAGAGAGAAAGGTGACTGGATACGTAAAGGCGTGCTCAATACCTCCTGTCTTCTTGGCATAGTCACCTTTCTAGCAAACTTGCAACAAAGAAGGGAGTGTTAACTATACCGTACTGGCTAACATTGCCACCACTATTCAATAATTTTTTTGCTGTAATCATCCCCCCACTTCCCCTCTCAATTCCCAGTGATATCCTCACCCCGATTATATAGCTCTAAAATGTGGAAGTGGTCTCAAATCAAATTAGAAGGGTTGTGGCCTTCTAATCATCTCGTTGATATTTAACCTTCCACTCTCTTATTCTATATAACTTGATAATAAGATACGAATATAATATGGACCAATTAGCATTTCCCGAACAGAAAAAGATAAATATTACATCAAATAACTTTTCTTTTCAAAATCCAAAAAAAAAAATGTTTTTTATTTTGAAATGCTGGAATCTTGTATGCGTAATGATTATAATTATGTATATTGAAAATTCCAAATGATTTCGGAATGAGGAGAAACAAATTTTCCTTGGTGTGAATAGCCATGGACTGAATTTTGAAGGAAATGAAAGCGGTGGTCGTGAATGAATCCGAAAAAGAATTAAATTAGCATCAATTGTTTAGTTTAGATGACTGGAATTCAGATTTTAGGTTGTTTATGGGACTTAAATTCAAAATTACGTAAACATCTAAACATTACCGGTAATTTAGAAAAAGTTACAGAAGATGCTGTACCAAAAGATGATAAAGATGTTCCGCATGATGGTACGGAAGATGTTACAAAATAAGATAAAGATGTTGTAAGAAAAAGTACAGAACATGCTGTACAAGACAATACAAAAAATGACGTAGAAGATGGTAGAGAAAATGCTGTGCAAGATGATGCAAAAGCAGTTGCACAAAAAGGTACAGAAGATGTTATGGAAAAAGATAAATATTTTGTAGTAAAAAATGCAAAAGATGCTCTTTAAAAAGATATAAATGATTTTGTAGAACATGGTAAAAAAATGTTATAGAAGATAGTACAGAAGATGCTGTATAAAACGCTGCAAAAGAAGGTGCAGAAGATGTTATAAAATAAGATAAAGATGTTGTAGAAGATAGTACAGAACATGCTGTATAAGACAATACTGAAGAAGATGGTATAGAAAATGCTGTACAAGATGATGCAAAACAAGTTGCACAAGAATGTACAAAAGATGTTATTGAACACGATAAATATATTGTAGTAGAAAATACAGATGATGTTCTGGAAAAATATAAAGATGATATTGTAGAAGATGCAACAGATGATGGTACAGAAGATGTTGCAGAAGATGGTACAGAAGATACTGTACAATATGATGAGAAAAAGGTGCAGAAAATATTATAGAATAAGATAAATATTTTTTAGTAGAAAATACAGAAGACGCTCTTCAAAAAGATACAAATAATTTTGTAGAACATGTTTAAAAAAATGTTATAGAAGATAGTACAGAAGATGCTGTACAAGACGATGCAAAAGAATATGTAAAAGATGTTATAAAATAAGGTAAAGATGTTGTAGAAGAAAGTACAGAACATGCTGTACAAGACAATACAAAAGATGATGCAGAAAAAGGTATAGAAGATGCTGCAGAAGATGATGCAAAAGAAGATGAACAACTAGGTACAGAAGATTTTATGGAATAAGATAAATATTTTGTAGATAAAAATTCAGAAGATACTCTTCAAAAAAATACAATCGATATTGTCGAAGATGGTACAGAAAATGTTGCAAAAGATGGTACAAGAGATGCTGTACAAGATGATGAAAAAGAAGGTGCAAAAGATGTTATAACATAAGATAAAGATGTTGTAGAAGAAAGTGCAGAACATGCTGTACAAGACAATACAGAAGATGGTACAGAAGATGCTGTACAATGTGATGCAAAAGAAGGTGCAGAAGATGTTATAGAATAAGATAAATATTTTTGTTGTGAAAAATACAGAAGATGCCCTGGAAAAAGATGATATTGTAGAACATACAACAGAAGATGATACAGAAGATGCTGTACAATATGATGCCTAAGGTGTTGTAAAAAATGGTACAGAAGATGCTGTATAAGAGGATGCAAAAAAAGTTGTACAACTAGGTACAGAATATGTTACAGAATAAGATAAATGTTTGGTTGTAAAAAATACAGAAGAAATTGTAGAATAGGATAAATATTTTATAGTAGAAAATGGGGCGCATGATTATTCCCTAAATGTCATTTTTCCGAAATGTCATTTTACCGAACTGCACTTTTGCGAATACTTATTTTTGCGAAAAGCCAATTTTGCGAAATGTCACTTTTGCGAATTGTCATTTTTGCGAAAAGCCATTTTTCTGAAATGTCATTTTTGCGAATGGACATTTTTGCAAATTGTCATTTTTGAGAAATGTCATTTTTGCGAATTTTCACTTTTGCGAATCGACATTTTTACGAATTGTCGATTTTCCGAAAAGTCATTTTTGCGAATAGTCATTTTTGCGAAAAGCCATTTTTCTGAAATGTCATTTTTACGATTAGTCATTTTTGCGAAAATTCCAATAGTGAATCTATATATATGCATACAAGTTTACTATCGGAATTTTGATAATTCGTAAAAATGGCGATTCGCAAATATGACTTTTCGGAACATTGACAATTCGCAAAAATGACAATTCGCAAAAATAGCTTTTCGCAAATATGACTTTTCGGAACATTGACAATTCGCAAAAATAGCTTTTCGCAAAAATGACAATTCGTAAAAATGACTTTTTGCAAAAATGACTGTTCGCAAAAATGACATTTCGTAAAAATGGCGATTCGCAAAAGTGACAATTCGCGAAAATGACATTTCTCAAAAATGACAATTCTGAAAAATGGCAATTCGTAAAAATGACTTTTCGCAAAAATGGCTTTTCTCAACAATGACATTTCACAAAAATTTCTTTTCGTAAAAATGACTTTTCGAAAAATTGACAAATCGTAAAAATGGCGATTCGCAAAAATGACTTTACGGAAAATTGACAATTCGCAAAAATGGTCATTCGCAAAAATGACAATTCGCAAAAGTGACATTTCGCAAAATTGGCTTTTCGCAAAAATGACTATTCGCAAAAGTGCAGTTTGGTAAAATGACATTTCGGAAAAATAACATTTGGCGAATAATCATGCGTCCCGTAGAAAATATAGAAGATGATTTAGAGAAAGATACAAATGATGTTGTAGAAGATGGTACAGAAGATGCTGCACAAGATGGTGCAAAAGAAGTGGCACAAGGAGGTGCAGAAGATGTAGAATAAGAAGAAAATATTGTAGAAAGTACAGATGATGCTGTACAAGATAAGATAAAGATATTGCAAAAAGAAATGCAGAAGATGGTGTGCAAGGTGGTACAGAAGAAGTTAAAAGATAAGATAAAGATAATGCAGAAGAAAATACAGAAGATGTGGTCCTTTTTGTTATGAATAATAAGGTGCAGAAGATGTTATAAAAAAAGTTAAACATGTTGTAGAAGAAAATACATAAGATGCTAGACACGAAGATAGAGAAGTTGTTGTAGAAGATAGTACAGAAGATGCTGTACAAGATGATGCAAAGGAAATTTTACAAGAAAATACAGAAAATGCTGTATAAAAAGATACAGATGATACTGTAGCAGATGATGCAGAAGATATTGTAGCAGATGGTGCTGAAGATATTGTAGCAGATGGTGCAGAAGATATTGTAGAATAAGATAAAGATATTGCAGAAGAAAATACAGAAGATATGGTGCAAGATGGTAGAGAAGGAGTTTCAAAATAAGTTCAACGTATTTTAGAAGAAGTTGCAAAAGATGCTGTAAAAAAAGAGAATTACGATGTTCTTCAAAATGGTACAGGAGATTTTACAAAATATGATAAAGATGTTGTAGAAGAAAATACAAATCATGATGTACAAAATGATACAGATGATGTTGTACAAGATGATGCAAAAAAAGTTGCACAAGAATGTGCAGAAGATGTTCTAGAATAAGATAAATATTTTGTAGTAGAAAATACAGAAGTTGCTTTACAAGAAAATACACAAGGTGTTGTAAAAAATGCTGTACAAGATGATGCAGAAGATGTTATAAGAAAAGTTGAAAATGTTGTAGAAGAAAGTACAGAAGTTGTTGTACAAGAAGATACACAAAGTGTTGTAAAAGATGGTATAGAAGATGCTGTACAAGATGATACAGAAGATGCTGTAGAAGATGATACAGAAATGCTGTACAAGATGATGCAAAAGATGTTGTACAAGAAAGTACAAAAGATGTTATAGAATAAGATAAATATTTTGTAGCAGAAAAAAAGATGCTTTTTAAAAAGATGCAGATGATATTGTAGAAGATGCAACAGAAGATAGTACAGAAGATGGTACACAAGATAGTACAGAAGATGATGTATAAGATGCTATATAAGATGATGCAAAAGATGATGCAGAAGATGTTATAAAAGAAGATGAAAATGTTGTAGAAGAAAATACAACAGTTGCTGAACAAAATGTTGTACAATAAAATACAGAAGATCATGAAGATGATGCTACAAAAAATGTTACAAAAAAATATCGCGTTAGAAGAAATAAAAGATGATGAAAAAATTATCTAAAAAAAATTTTCTTTAAATCATTCATAACCAGCATAATTTTTCCACTAACATAACTAAAAGAACTTAGTTTTCATAAGTTAACACCGATTTTTGTCTAGTTCTCTATTACATTTAGGTTGCAACATTATTGACATTAAAACTTTTCCCACAGCTTACTTTTTTTTTATTATCTTCAACTAGCAACAATTTACCTATAGTAAAACTTTTTTCTGAAATATAAATACCACTTTTCATTTTGTACCAAAGTTTAACTCCCATCAATATTTCGATCTTCTTCTCTTTATAAATTTTTTTTTAAATAGCGATGAATATGTCGATTGTAATCTACATAGAAGCGAAGAATTATGTAAATTCACTTCCTCGAGGAGACCTTTGGAAGGAAATGTTATATCAGACATTGAATAAAGTGACAGTGAAGGCGGTGTTGCAAATAAAGACAAATGAAGGCAAAGAAGGTGGCAAATAATTTCATTTCTTTTTTCTTTTATTTTTTCCCCCCCAAAAAAAAGAAAGAAAGAAAACATTAAATGGAATGTTCCTTTACAAAATTCATTGAATTCCGAAGCGGTAGCTGCGTTTTTGCATTGGCACTAACATTTTAAATGTATTCCTCAAGGTGAAAAGAAAGGTCAATTTCTTAGGTAACGCACTCTGAAAGTTTCGAATATAATATATGTACAAATGAACCCTAAACTGTATGAATGTTATACACATATAATTCTAATTATTGTTACCTCCATAAATTTTTTTCCACTTTCACAATTTAGGTGAATAAATTCCAAAATATAATTCAATTACTAAACATATATAGAAATTCTTTCTCAAGAATTATTATTTATTTATTAAACACAAGGTTTGTAAGGTAATTAAGCTGTAAAAAAATAAATCTTACACTTTTAGCCCACTTTTAACTTTTTTCATTTTTTTTCATTTTTTTTTTTTTTTTTTTTTTTTTTTTTTAATATAAAAACGTTTATATTAATTAAAACCCTAATAAGTATTTTTATTAATACCAGTCGGACATTACAGACTTTATTATAGTTATTATTTTTCGATCTTATTTTAGCCAATGTTAAAAGTTATTAAAAAAAAAAAAAAAAAAAAATTTAATTTATTTTTATTATTTTTTCACATTAAACTAAAATTTTAATATTAAATATTCTTTGTCCATCGAATTTGATTTGTCCTAGAATTAAGAAAAACATTGACATTTGAAAAAATTTGAATTTTAAAAAATAATGATTTTTGGTATTGGAATTGTAATAATGACTTGACAAAAATGCAATTATTTGTATGATATTTTAAAAATGAAAATTTTTATGAGAATAAGCAAGATGTTGATGAAATGAAGACAAAAATTTTAAAATTATACAGCCGTATTATATATTATTTATTAGATATTTATTTTATTTGTTAATATCATTAGAATTTGAATGAAAGATAAATTAATAAGATATCAAATTAATTGTGTCGATTTCATAAATTCGGTGGCAAGAATTTATTAAATTATATATTTCGAAATTAGATCCATTTTAAAATGTTACGAGACAATCTATATATTTGTGAAATAATCGACTATGTAATAGCGACTGAATGAATGAAATTCATGCTTCCTACACATCAATTAAAAAAATAATTATAATAGTAATAATAAAAATAAAAAATTGTTAAAACAATAATAATAATAATAATAATAATAATAATAATAATAATAATAATAATTAATAAAAAATATAATTTGTAATAATAATTATTATACTAAGTATTAATTTTTGTTACAAATTTACAATTTAAATAAAGATCAATAACAGTCGGAAATAAAATACATATAAAATTATGGTTTGATTAAGTCTACGGTAAAAAAATTTAATAACAAACAAGTATATCTTAAACTATTTCAAAAATTCAAGTTTATAGATATTATAACTGAAGGATTTTAAATATTATTTTTCATAAAACTCGTAAAAGTCTTTAATATCCTATTTCCATATTTTACGATTTGTTATTCTTTGCTTATTAAATGTAAATATTTAAAATATGTGAATTAATTAAAATAAAACATTTCAAAAAATGTAAAAAAACAATTTTTTAAATAATTGATTTTTTCAAGGAATTAAAATTAAATTTCTTAAGAATAATTACATTTTTTAGCAATTCCTGTAAGATTGTATTAAAAATTTAAAATTAATTGAAATCCTGCGATGAATTTTATTATTTATAAAAATAATTGAAAATTTGAAGAGAAATAAAAAAATTTTTTTAAATAATTGGAATTTTGTCAAGAATTTTATTAAAATTTATGAAAATAATTGAATTTTGAAGAAGAATTTTATTATTTATAAACATAATTGAAATTTTGAAGAGAATTAAAAAAAAGTTTAAACATAATTGAATTTTTGCGAAGATTTTTATTAAAATTTTGAAAATAATTGAAATTTTGAAGAGAATTAAAAAAAAAGTTTAAAAATAATTGAATTTTTGCGAAGATTTTTATTAAAATTTTGAAAATAATTGAAATTTTGAAGAGAATAAAAAAAAAGTTTAAACATAATTGAATTTTTGCGAAGATTTTTATTAAAATTTTGAAAATAATTGATATTTTGCAAAGAATTTTATTAAAATATTTGAAAATAATTGAATTCCAAAAAAGTATTTTATTATTTATAAAGATAATTGAAATTTTGAAAAGAATTTTTAAAAATTTTTGAACGTAATTGACAACTGGAAAAAATTTTATTAAAATATTTGAAAATAATTGAATTCCTGTGAAAAATTCTAATATTTTTGTAAATAATTGATTTTTTTCGAGGAATTGAAATTATATTTTTAAGAATAATTACATTTTTTTCAGCAATTCCTGTAAAATTGTATTAAAAATAATTGAAATCCTGTGATGAATTTTAGTATTTATAAAAATAGTTAAAATTTTTAAGAGAAATTAAAAAAAATTTTGAAAATAATTAAAATTTTGCCAAGAATTTTATTAAAATTTTTAAAATAATTGAAATTTTGCAAAGAATTTTATTAAAATTTTTGAAAAGAATTGAATTTTGAAGAAGAATTTTATTATTTATAGAAATAATTGAAATTTTGAAGAGAATTTAAAAAAATTTTTGAAAATAATTGAAATTTTGCCAAGAATTTTATTAAAATATTTGAAAATAATTGAATGTCAAAGAAAAATTTTATTATTTATAAAGATAATTGAAATTTTAAAGAAAATATAACAAAAAATTTTTGAACATAATTGAATTTTTGCGTAGAATTTTATTAAAATTTTGAAAATAATTGAAATTTTGCCAAGAATTTTATTAAAATTTTTGAAATTAATTTAAATTTTGCATAGAATTTTTTTAAAATTTGTTTAAATAGTTGACATTTTGCAAAGAAGTTTATTAAAATTTTGAAAATAATTGAAATTTTACCAAGAATTTTATTAAAATTTTTAAAAATAAATAATTAAATTTCTGAAAAGAATTTTATTATTCCAAATTTGAATTATTGCGAAAAATTTTATTAAACTGTTTAAAAAGAATTGAATTTCTGTGAAATTTTTTTTTTTTTTTTTTTTTTTGAAAATAATTGAATTCTTCATAAGAATTTTATAAAACAGTGTTTTAAATATTTAATTTTTTCGAAATATAATAAATATTATGATAATTTGATTTTAAATAATTGAATTTTTATGGAAAACTTTAGTTATGAAAATAATTGAATTTTTTGATTAATTAATTTAAAATAGTATTAAAAATAATTGAAATCCTGCAATGAAATTTATTATTTATGAAAATAATTAAATTCTTACTTAGAATTTTTTCAAAATTTTTTTTTAAAAAATTCAATTTCCATGAAAAATGTTATTATTAGTGAAAGAAATTGAATAATTGCGAAGAATTGTACAATATTTTTGTTAAAATAATGAATAGAAAACAAAATAAATGAAAATATATCATTTTTATTTATTATGTGTGTGTATGTGAACTGAACAGCGGAAGTGATCTATATAAATAACATTTCAATAAAAATTGGAACATATGTAGAAATTATGAACTTTCCAAAGTGGGAATTTTTATTTCATTATTATTATTATTATTTCTCATTCATTTTTCCAAAATGAAAACAGATTGTAAGAGGGGGATGGGGGGAATTTCACTTCATTGGAAAAAAGATAACAATCAAAAGTTGATTGTAATTGTGACGAGGGGAATTTAGCAACATTTCTACCGCCTTCAGCTCTTAGAGAATATTGTAATCCAAGGCTTTTAAATCGGTAGCGATTAGACGATGTTGAGATACATATAAAGGTATAAAAATCGTTATACATATAGGCCTCTGAATTTTTTTTTTTTTTTTTTTTTTCGTGAATCAACCTACGCAATCGTTTTAGGATATTAAATCGTATCCGGAAACCTTGTAAATCAATAAAAATTCTTTGAAACCATTTTTTTCTGAAATCAATAAAAAAATATAATATAACGATGAAATAATAATCATATTTATATAATCAATTTTTAACTCTGAAAATAATGATCTCTTTGATTTTTATGATTAATGAATCGGTTTGTGCGATTTTGGAAAAAAAAGATAAAAAAATCGATATTTTTATTATTACCTATTATTTTTTTTTTGCTTAGAGAATTTTGGTAAATCTGCCTACAGATACCTTGGATTATTTTTTATTCTATTATAATTTATTAAAATTTATTATTAATATTATTGTTGTATTAAATTTTTGTTATAATTGTAAAATTGTAATTTTAATACACCAAAAAAAAAAAAAAAAAAAAAATCAAATGTATCGCAAAATGTTCATGCAGATTTTTTTTTGTTTAGCAAACAAATGAAAACGATTTGATTTAATTATATATATTATTCGAATGAAAAACGATAGGTGAAATTTATTGTAAAACAAAATATATACACAGCAGCTCACGTGGATATTTATCAAAAGTTGATTATAATTAATTTTCCATGCGTCGTTGACCCACTTTTCCATATATGATACTTCCTTTGTTTGCGATAAAAGCAGCGCCTATCATGTAATTCAATTCCTGGGAAATATTATCCTGAACTTCATCTTTTTTTTTTTTTTTTTTTTTTTTTATTTTCCATGAATGACATTTGAAAATGTGTTAGGAAAAGAAAAAAAAAAGTTTAAAAAAACAAGAAAAAAGAAAGGCAACTCTATATATATGTATGTACACAGAAACAAGAGAGCGCGCGCGTACGTATAGAATTCTTGAAATATGTGGGAAAAAGATATTTCACTATATTTATGCATATATACATGTATATATATAATTTTTTTTTTAATTTTATTATTTTATATATTTAATATATAAAAAAAATTTTAAATATATAATATTATAAATATAATATATAACATTTTGTTTAACAAAAAGTATTCAAGTTTTGCATAATTTAATTTAGAAATTCCGAAAAAAACTTGTTTCTTAAAAAAGTGTAATTAAATTTTTTTTTAAAAATAACTATTTCCAAAAATAATTTTTAAAAATTATAATTTAAAATTTTGTCAAATTTCATCTTGACATTTTTATATTTTAAAGAATTTTTTTTAATTTTAGAAATTTTTAATAATTTTAAAAAGGCCTTTATGTTTTTATATTTTCGTGACTAAATAAAAAATAATTTTTCATTAAAAAATTTTTTTTTAATCACTACCAGCTATTTATTTTTATTTTTTACTATATCCGGCTGTTGGCTGCGCTTTTTATTTGTCAAGGGTGACGAGATTCTGAGCAAATGTACAATTTCCGTTAATTTACATAAATAAAAAAAATATATATACTTTATAAAAACAATTATGAATTTATAATTTAATTTTTTTAAAATAATTTATATTTATATATTAGTAACTTGTTTTCACGCCTGTTTTCATACAATGAGTGATGTATATTATAATATACGGTCAGTAGTAAATTGATAGTGCATATTATAATAAATTAATAATTAAAAAAATTACGCTGTGAATTGTTGAGAAGGCTTAAAAAGATGAAAAAAATAAAAACGCGATATCTAAGAATAAAAAAAAAATGTTATGCACTCTATAAATGTACCCTTATAGCTAAGCGGGGAATAAAGTGCCCATTATTGCCCTAGGTAAAAAAAGTATACTTTATTGACCACTTGCAGGTCAATAAAAAGACCATTTTTACCCAAGGGCAATAAAGTGTACTTTATTAACCTTGTTCCCATGTCAAGGTACTCAAATGAATTATATTAGGAATAAAGAAAGAAAAATTATTTTACTTTTTTCAACAAATTTTTTTCTTTATTGACAATAAAATGATCAAGTATTGTAAACCTTCACTATTATTAAGAAAATACAATAATTATCCCATATATTATTTCCGCCACCAATTAATAAAGTAACAAGCGACATACACCTCACTCGCTAACGCTTGTTCGGTTCTTGAAAACTGTTTTTTTTTTTTGGCGTTTACAGTGGCCTTACCCCTTAAGTAAATCAATTAATTTTAATATATTTATTGCAGTACTATCTGAATTACGTTGCTGCTGGAATAAGAACACAAAAAATTAATTTTAAAATAATAACTATTATTAATAATTACTTTTGTTAAATACTATAATAAATTACTCACAGGTTTTTTGGTGGTTGTGGTAGTAGTTGTGCTGGTAGTTACCTTTAAAAAAAATCAATTCAATTTTCCATTCTACTTGTTAAATTATTAAAATACATAATATATTATAATATATAATATAAACAAAAATTATAAAATAAATTATTAAAAAAAAATAACTTACACTTTTTTCTGTTGTTGGTTTAATTTCTGCACCTTCCTATTGAAATAAAAAAAAAAATTTTATTAAAATTAAAGCACTAAAAAAATTTTTATTTATTTCATGATTTTAATTTTTAATTTATCTAAAAAATAAAATAAATTTTCATAAACTTTGTAATAATTATTATAAAATGTAATAAAAATATACCCTTTCTCTTGATGATGGTGACGTACGCCTCTGAAAATCAAAAAGTAAATATTTTTGTATATGGACACACAGAATATTAAAATAAAATTATCATAATTTTTATTATATTTCGAAAAAATTAATTATTTAAAATAATGTTTATAAAATTCTTATGAAGAATTCAATTATTTAAAAAAAAATTTTTTTTTCAAGAAGATTTCAATTATTTACAAAAAAAATTATTTTTATTTTTTTTTATTTTTTAAAAACTTTTTGCAATTCAATGATTTTTAATATCTACTATTTTCATAAAATTTTCTAACAAAATTCAATTATTTAAAAAATTTTTTGTAATAATCTTTTCGTAAGAATTCAATTATTTTCCTGAATAATAAAAATTTCTCAAAATAATTCAATTATTTAAATTACAATTTGCATAAAATTTGTCGAAAGAAATCAATTATTTAAAAATTTTTATAAAATTTTTCTCAAAAATTAAATTATTTTTCTAAATATTTAAATACCATAATAAATTACTCACAGGTTTTCTGGTGGTTGTGGTAATAGTTGTACTGGCAGTTGTCTTTAAAAAAATTCAATTTAATTTTCCATTCTACTTGTTAAATTATTAAAATATATAATATATTATAATATCTAAAATATATAAAAAAAAATATAAAATAAATTATTAACGAATTATTAAACAAAAATTATTTACAAAATTAAAAATTTAAGATATCACGAACCTCTGGTCCACTCTAAGGAAAGTAGAAGAAAAAACAAATATTTTTTAGAAATATTAAAAATTAATTAAAGAATGAAATTTGATGAAAGAAAATTAAAATTTTTGAAGTAGAATAACTTAAATAAAATTCATATATTTATTATTTACCTTCAATTTTCTACAACCCTTAATTCCGAGTCGTTGTCCACTTAAATACTTGTTCAATTCCCTTCTGGAACCAGTACGACTTTCCAAGTTAAATTTAACAAGTTCTTTTCTTATGTCATTTAATTTAGCAAGGCAGCTTGCATAGCATTTTGCGTATTCAACGCTATCATTCTGAGTTGGAAAATTTTTTTTATATCTTTTGATAATTTTCCAAAGTTTAAAAACTGTTTCATTATTTTTAACTCTGTGTGCACCACAGTCTTTTGGCATTAATTTTATTATCTCTTGCGTTATATTTATATAAGGATTTTTCAAAGGTGATTTATAATTTTTTTGAACATTTCTTTGCACACTCTCAACTAGTAAATCCAAAACTAGTGGAATATTTGATTCAGCAATTGGTGTATTATCGTTTTCTGGTGTTTTCTTACATTCAAATAGATTTTTAATTATTCTAAAGAATTTAGTCGCAATCTTAAAATGTGACATTAAATCTACATCATATTTCTTATTTTCTGGCTGCAAAATAAAAATTAAATTTGGTTATTTTTAATTTTTATCAACATCTCAAGACTTTTTTTTAAATTTTATGAGCTGCTGATCATGAAAATTATTGTTAAAAATAATACTAGAAATCAAAAAATTATTCTCAAAAATTATAATCCAAATTCTTCAAAACGATTCAATTATTTTCGAAAAATATTCGAAATTCAATTATTTTCAATATCTAGTATTTTCATAAAATTTCGCAAAGAATTCAATTATTTAAAAAAAAATTTTATAAAATTCATCCAAAATTCAATTATTTTCATAAATAATAAAATTTACACAGGATTTCAATTTTATGAAAAGCATTTTCAAAAAAATTTCGAATAAATCAATTATTGAACAAAATTTATATGTAATTCAATTCTTCACAATAATTCAATTATTTTCACTAATAATAACTTTTTTCATGGAAATATTCAATTTTTGAAAAAAAATTTTGATAAATTTTTAAGCAAGATTCAAGAATTCAATTATTTTCATAAACAATAAAACTCATCGAAGAATTTCAATTATTTTCCACACTATTTTAAATTAATTAATCGAAAAATTCAATTATTTTCACAAATAAAGTTTTCCACAAGAATTAAATTATTTTCACACATAAAGTTTTTCACAAGAATTCAATTATTTAAAATAAAATTTTTATAATATTTATTATATTTCGAAAAAATTAATTATTTAAAACAATGTTTATAAAATTCTTATGAAGAATTCAATTATTTTCTAAAATAACAAAATTTTTTACAGAAATTCAATTCTTTTTGAATTCTTCCCAAGAATTCAATTATTTACATAAATAATAAAAATCACCGAAATTCCCGAAAATTCAATTATTTTGAGAAATGTTAATAAAATTCTTTGCAAAATTTAATCATAAATAAATAAATCATTTTTATCACAAGAATTCAATTATTTTTAAAAGAAATACATTTTTTCTTGTGAATACGATTAATTTTGAAAATTTTAATAAAATTTGGTGCCGCACTTCAATATTATTTTTAATACACAATTTTACAGGAATTGGTCAAAAAATGTAATTATTCTTTAAAATTTATATTCCATTCCTCGAAACAATCAATTATTTAAAAAAATGTTTTTTAAAATTCTTTGGAAGAATTCAATTATTTACGAAAATATTAGAATTTTTCACAGGATTTCAATTATTTAAAAATATTTTAATAAAATTAAAAGAAAATAATTAATTTTTTCTTAAAAATTCAATTATTTCAAATAATTCTAATAAAATCATTCGCAAGAATTCAATTATTTTTATAAATAATAAAATTCTTTTCAGGAATTCAATTATTTTTAAAAAAAAATTTAATAAAATGCCACACGCAGACATTCAATTATTCTCAAGAATTTTAATAGAATTCTTTGTGAAATGTAATTATTTTTAAAAACTTTTCGCAATTAAATAATTTTTTTATATCTACTATTTTCATAAAATTTCCAAACAGAAATTAAAAAAAAAAAAAAAAATTTTTTTTTTTTAAATTTTTTATAAAAATCTTCAAAAGAATTCAATTCTTTTCGTATGAATAATAAAAAATTCTTAGGAATTCAATTAATTAAAATAAAATTTTCATAATATTTATTATATTTCGAAAAAATTAATTACTTAAAATAATGTTTATAAAATTCTTTATGAAGAATTGAATTATTTTCAAAAATAAAAATAAAAATTGCTCAAAAAATGTAATTATTCTCTAAAAATTTAATCTCCATTCCTCAAAACAATCAATTGTTTAAAAAAAAGTTTTTTTTTAAATTTCTTTAAAAGAATTTATTTATTTACAAAAAATATTAGATTTTTTCACTGAAATTTAATTATTGTTAAATATTTTAATAAAATTGGTCGAAAGAAATTAATTTATTTAAATAAAATTTTAATTAAATTTTTTAGAAATAATTCAATTATTCTTTTAGATTTTAATAAAATTCTTCGCTTTCTAAATTCAATTATTTACATAAATAATTCTTCCGAAGAATTCAATTATTAAAGATAAATAACAAAATTATTCCCGAAAATTCAATTTTTTTACGGATTTTAATAAAATTCTTTGCAAAATTCAATTATTTTCATAAATATCAATATTCATCACAAGAATTAAATTATTTTTAAAAGTAATACATTTTTTTTTTGTTAATTCAATTATGTTAAAAATTTACCTGATTGGGAGTGTTGGGCGAAGGCTGCAAAAAAATTAAAATATTTTCATAAAGAGACATAAATTAATATTCTCAAAAATTTTAATAGTATTCTTTGTAAAATTTAATTATTTTTAAAAATTTTTCGCAATTCAATGATTTTCAATATCTACTATTTTCATAAAATTTCCAAACGGAGTTCAATTATTTAAAAATTTTTATAATATTCTTCGTAAGAATTAAATTTGTTTTATAATAAGGGTATATATTAAAATAATATTAAAATTCTTTCATGAATAATAAAAATTTGTTGCTGGTATTCAATTTATCAGCAGCAGCTTGAAAATATTGTTAAAATTAATAATTAAATTTTTATCTTCCTTTTTGAAAATTTAAAATAAAATTAACTTAGAATGATTAATATTGTTTACTAAATTATACTTACCGGTTCTTTAACTTCATTGTCTTCATTATAATCTTCTTCAATATCATTATCATCATAATCCTTTAGAAACGAAAAAATGTTATTAATTTCAATGTAAGTAAATAAAGTAATTTAAAAAAAATTAGTAGTCTGTATTTTACCTCATAATCACCATAATCCTTTTTTAAAAGTAAAAAATTAATTATTCAATTAAATTAAATCAAATCAAATTAAATTAATTGAATAAAATCAAATAAAATTTATTTTCATGAAAACACTATAAAATTTATAGAAACAATGAATAAAATTACTTTTGTTCAATACTATAATAAATTACTCACAGGTTCTTCGGTGGTTGTGGTAGTAGTTGTGCTGGTAGTTACCTTTAAAAAAAATCAATTTAATTTTCCATTCAAATTGTTAAATTATTAAAATACATAATATATTATAATATATAATATCAACAAAAATTATAAAATAAATTTAAAAAAAAATAACTTACACTTTTTTCTGTTGTTGGTTTAATTTCTGCACCTTCCTATTGAAATAAAAAAAAATTTATTAATAAACTAAAAAAAACTTTTTAATTATTTCATGATTTTAATTTTAATTTTTAATTTATATAGAAAATAAAATAAATTTGCATAAACTTTGTAATAATCATTATAAAATTTAATAAAAATATACCCTTTCTCTTGATGATGATGTTGACGTACGCTTCTGAAAATGAAAAAGTAAATATTTTTGTATATTTTTTATCAAAATTTCGTCTTCCATATTGGATCCGCCATTTTGAATTTTAAAAATCCGACTTTAAATTCGTAATCAGCTACCCCAAAATTCATTTTTAAATTAAGTTTAATACAATGAAATAAGATTAAAAAATATAAATTAAATTAAATTTATTTTTATGTAAAGACTATAAAATTTATAGAAACAATGAATAAAATTACTTTTGCTCAATACTATAATAAAGTACTCACAGGTTCTTCGGTGGTTGTGGTGGTAGTTGTCTTAAAAAAAAATTTAATTTTGCATTCTACTTGTTAAATTTTTAAAAATATATAATATATTATAAAATATCTAAAATATATATTAAAAAAAATATAAAATAAATTATTATTTTCAAAAATAAATTACACTTTTTTCTGTTGTTTTCAGAAAAAGAAAAAAACATTTTGAACCGATTTTCAGTAAAACTTAATTTATAATATTTTCAAATTCTTTAATTTAGATTATTTTTTCAATATTTGATATTATTCACTCACATAAAATAAAAATAATTTTTCCATTTTTATGAAATTTCAAAATATCTATTTTTTAAGATAGCAAATAGTTTTAAAAAATAACGAGAATATGAAATTTCATGTCTTACTGCGCGCAAAGAATTTACTTTAATTTTATTTAAAACTTGATTTGATAAATATTTTTTCCAATAAAATAATTTTTGCTTATAAAATTAAAGAATTTTTGAATTTTACGAAAAAATTTTGTCAAAAATAAAATATTTTCTTTATTAGGTTTCTGCGATATTTTCATCCTCGCAATTTCGTGCCGCAATACAATAAAATTTAAAGATTTTTCTAAGATAGAAAATAATATAAAAAAATAAAGAATAATAATTAAATTTTAAAAAATCTAGTTTTTCACTGTTAATTTTTTATTGTCTTTTTTATTTATCTCCAAAATTTTTTTTTTTAGCTTGAAAACTGAATCAATAATAACGAAAATAATTTTTCTTTTCGAATAGATAATAGATAATTTTTAAACAGGAAAAAATTTTAATATCTTAACATAGTTGAATATTTTTTTTTTAAAAATTAATGTTTTTTTAAAACAAAAGATACATTTTTCTGAAATAAAAAATAATAATGTTTAAAGTTAGAACAATAGTTTTTAAAAATTCTATTATTATAACTATTATAATAAAAAAAAAAAAAAAAAAATTTATTTTTTTTATTACTCTTATAATATGGAAATATTTATTATTTCATTAGTTGTCAATTATTTCATTAATTATCAATTTTTCAATCGATTATTAAATATTTAGCAAAATATTATTAATACGTAATTATTTCTAAACTTTAAGGTAAAGGTATAAGTTTTTCAAAATTTTTCCAAAAGTGTATGTAAAGCATAGGGGCCATTCAAGTATTACGTAAGCATATTTTTCAGGTTTTTAGACCCCCCCCCCCTCCCCCATGTAAGATTATTTATATGCATTAGCGCCATTTTTTCTAATGGAAATAAGCAATAGCTAGACCCCCCCTCCCCCTTAAATGCTTACGTATAATACTTGAATGGTCCCATAAGAAAAATTAAAAAATTAAAAAATTAAAAAATTAAACAATTTACCAAAAATATTTTAATAAAATTTTAAATTAAATTAAAAATGTTTCCTTCATTACTACCTATTATGATTTCTTTTTTAATAATTAATTTTATTACCTTGTCATTGTGATTCCAGATTGTACCCTTCAACAATATTGCTGTCAAAGTACAGTGAAGAATAAAAATTAGAAGAGGCCAGCCATGATTCATTTTTACTTTTATTTTCGAGAATGAATAAACTTATTTCCACTTTTTGAAAAATTTTACAAAATTCGTTCTTTATATACCAAATGATTTTTTACGTTCATTTTTTTTATAGCTTTAAAAAAAGAAACTTTTTAAAACTTTTGGCAGTCGTGTTGACTGATAATTTATATTACCCTTTGTAACTGATTGTACAAATATCTACAAATTGTAATGTAGACTTTTTAATTTTTTTTTTTTTTTTTTTTTTTTTTTTTTTTTTTTATTATTATTATTATTATTTTTATTTTTATTTTAGCCAAGCGGGGAATAAAGTGTCCATTATTACCCTAATGGAAAAAAGTGTACTTTATTGACATTATTCACAGGTCAAGAAAGTACTCATTATTACCCTAGGATAATAATGGATTTAAATTATTCCCTCTTTATTGATTTTTTTTTATTTTAAAAAGAAACTGCCCAATTTAATAGGATTATAATAATTTTTAGGAATAAAGAAAGAAAAATTATTTTACTTATTTCAAGAAATTTTTTTTTTTTTTTTATTGACAATAAAATGGTTTATCATTAATTAAGAAAATACAATATAATTATCCCATATTATTCCCGACACCAATTAATTAATTAATAAAGTAATATAAGTCATTATTTTTAATTCAAAACAAATTGATTTGCTTTAAAAATTATTTTTCGTAGAAAACAATATTTTTATTCTGCAGGGAGTACGGAAATTTTTATATTGAAAGGAGCATTTATCTTCGACACCCTTATTATCCTCTCCTGGAAAGAAATTTTTTTTTTGTTACTTTTTAGTGATTATTTTTAATAATAAATAAAATAAATAAAAATTAATATAAATATTAATATAAAAAATATATAAAAATATAAATATTAATATTATATGTAAATAATTAAATAATTAGTATTTATATTCATGAAATTAATAAAAAAAAACTGTTCCTAACATTGGTAAATGATTTAAAATGTTCGGTTTTCAATTGTCGATAATTGTCGGTAAATAATTTCTGCAATTATATTATTTATCAATTGTCGATAATTGTATGCAAAATTTGTTTTTGCAATTAAGAATTAAGAATTAATTCAAATTAAATAATTCAAAAAATATGCTCATTAACGTAAGGGTAAATAATTTTATATTATGCTTTTATATACTTACTCCTTCTGAGCTTTCATTTTCCTTTTTATCTTTAGTTTCATTTTTAGATGAATTTATGTCCTTAAGAAATTTTTCCGCTTGTTTATCGAATTCCTCTTTTATGTCATCTTTATGTTTGTTTATTTCCTTCAGAAAAAAAACATATAACATGAACATTGCTATTACATAAATAACAAATATTATATTCAAATTTTAAAAATATTACTTATTTGCTTAAATTTGAAAATGAATCATAAATTTTTTCTATTTTAAGAATATTTTCTATTTCTTTAAATTTTCAAAAATTAAATTTCTTCACTAATATTTCAAGTTATAGAAAATTAAAAAATTACTATATATATTGTAAATGTAATGAAAAAAAAAATTATGCTTATTAATATTATGAACTATAAGAAAAAATTATTATCTATAAACATTACAATTGGTGGTATCTCAGTGGCATGATTTGAACCACGTTGCTGTTGGAAAAAGTAGAAAAAAAATTTTTTAATATTAATAAAATTAAAATTTTCACTATTATAAAACAAAATAAAATCAAAATAATAATAATCATAATAATAAATACTATAATAAATATAATGATAGTAAAAAAAAATTATTAAAAATAATAAATTTACTGTAATAATAATTAAATATTTTTAATTCTTAAAATTATTTTAGGTAAATTAATTTTTAGAATAATAACTGTTATTATCAATAATTACATCTTTCCCTGGTTTTTTCGTCTGTAAAATAAAAGTAAATATTTTTATAAAAAAGGCACAATTTTATTGAACTTTTTAATATAATATTCAAATTTTATTATTTTATTTAAAATTTTAATTTTATTTTATTAAAATTTAATAATTTTTTTAATAATAATAATAATAATAATAATAATAATAATAATAATAATAATAATAATTCTTCAACGAAAATTATTTTAAGCATTCTTTCTTTTTCTAGTGACTTAATTTTTAAAATAATAATTAGTACTAAAAATTACCGTCCCCGAAGCACGAAAATCATGTTGATCATGTCTATTCTGAAAATAACAGAAAATATTTCTATATAAAGACTTTATAGGTTTTCGTTTTTTCTTGATTAAAAAAAATGTGTTAAACATTATCTTCATTATCGTAATTTGAACTCAAAAATAAAAATCATAATTCTTTCTTTTCAAAAAATCAGATTTTTAATATATATTTCAAAAACATTTGGAAATTTTTGTCAAAGGGAACAAAGATGCAAACAATAAATTCGCTAAATGCCGAAATTAATTTTTAAACTCTAGTACGAAATAAAAAATTGTTCGTAAAAAAAAATTAATATTTCAAAGAAAATTATTTTCCTGACAATTTAAATTTGAAAATTACCCGTTGACCTCCGGCTCCGTTAGCTCCATTCTGTAAAAAAAATTTTAAAAAATAGATTCATAAATAAAATTCATCGCAGGATTTCAATTATTTTTAATACACAATTTTACAGGAATTAATTAAAAAATATAATCATTTTTAAAAATTTAATTTCAATTCCTCGAAGAAAACAATTATTTAAAAATAAGTTATTTTTAAAATTCTTTTAGAAGATTTCAATTATTTACAAAAAATATTAGAATTTTTCATTGAAATTTAATTATTTTCAAATATTTTAATAAAATTGTTCGAAAGAAATCAATTATTTTAAATACAATTTTAATACAATTTTTTCAAATCATTCAATTATTCTTTTAGATTTTAATAAAATTCTTCGCTTTCTAAATTCAATTATTTACATAAATAATTCTTCCGAAGAATTCAATTATTAAAGATAAATAACAAAATTATTCCCGAAAATTCAATTATTTTCATGGATTTTAATAAAATTCTTTGCAAAATTCAATTATTTTCATAAATAACAATATTCATCACAAGAATTAAATTACTTTTTAAAAGTAATAAATTTTTTTCTTGTAAATTCAATTATTTAAAAAAATTTTAATTAAATCCTTCGGAAGAATTCAATTCTTTTCGTGAATAATAAAAATTTCTCAGGAATTCAATTGTTTTTAGAATTTGCATAAAATTAATCGACAAAAATGAATTATTTAAATATTTTTATAAAATTCTCTGCAAAGGATTAAATTATTTTTATAAATATTTCAATTCTTTCGCGAATAATAAAATTCGTTGCAGGAATTTTTAAAATTAATCATCAAGTGCAAAGTGTGAAATTAGTTTCCTGTCAATTTAAATTGAAAATTACCGGTTGATAGCCGCCCCCACTAGGCTGCTGTAAGAAAATAAAAATATTTTTATAAAGAGACATAAATTAATGTTATTCACGCCTCTGTTTATGGGCGAGAATAGATTAAATTAAGAAAAATTAATTTTTCAAAAAAAAAATTATTTTCCTGTCAATTTAAATTGAAAATTACCGGTTGATAGCCGCCCCCACTAGGCTGCTGTAAGAAAACAAAAATATTTTTATAAAGAGACATAAAATGTTATTTACGCCCCCCTGTTTATGGGCGAGAACAGATTAAATTAAGAAAAATTAATTTTTCAAAAAAAAAAATTATTTTCCTGTCAATTTAAATTGAAAATTACCGGTTGAGGGTTTTTCCTTCTATTCTGTAAAAAAATTTAAATTAACTATAATAATCTAAAAATATAGCAATTTCGTTTATTATATGCTTTTTTTATAACAAATTTCATGTAACTGATCTAAATTATGCAAAGTTTTCTCCTATTTTATGATATAAAAAATAGAAAATTGTTAATTTTGTTAAAAAATTATAATTAAAAAATAGAGAATATTCCCAAATGCATAATTTGTTTCTATAAATTTTATTTGTCAATTACGAATTTTCATAAATGAAATTTTTTGATTTTTTTTTGAAAATAATTAAATTCCTAAAAAAAAATTTTTATTCATTTATGAAAATAATTACGAATGATTTTTGAAGAAATTTGTAAAAAAAAATTTTGGTAAATTGAATTTATGTTAAATTTTTTTTAATTTTTGATAATAATATTGAATTTTAGAGAAGAATATTTTATTATTTATAAAGTTAAATTGAAATTTTAACGAGAATTTAAAAAAAAAATTTAAACATAATTGAATATCTGCGAATTATAAATACTTTTGAAAAATAATAATTGAGATGAAGAGCTATAAGTATAATTAACTATTAAGAAAATAATAATTTAAATTAAAAGAAAAAATAAGTAAATAAAATGTTATATTACCGAATATCGACTACTAATCATCTGCCCTCCTCCTCTTCCTCTTGCAACACGTGTATTATTATTTTCGATATCACCAGCCATATGTAATGGGTCAATAGACGGATCGTAAAATGGATCTTCATCCTTATTGGCGTTATGAAAATACAATTTTTTATTTTCTTCGTGTTTTATTTCTATTTTGCTTTTTCCTTATTTTTAAATCTTATTTTATTAATTTTTTAAAAATTCATGCAAAACATGAAAAATACCAAATTTTTATGATCTCGATAATATAAATCATTTTCGAAAAAATTTTTTATTTGACTTTAGTTATCACGTATATGGAAGTAAAGAATCTATCTTCAGTAATATAGAAATTTTTTTTAATATCAAAATGAAATGTTTTCTATTTTAATCTACATTTTATGTATGTACGAAAAATAATGTAACTTAAATTTAAAAAAATTTTTAAGTAAAAAAAATGTTTTTATTAGACAAAATATTTATTTTTTCTTCTTTTTGAATTTTATTTTTTGCTATAAATGAAAAATGTTATTTTCACCTCACGATTTTTGCAACTAATTGAAATAATTTTATTACTTTTTTAATAAAACTTTATTTTTAAAAACGTAAAAAACTTTCTGTTTTAATGCATATTTTAATTCGTGCGAAAAATAATATTCTATTTCATGGAAAATTTATTTTCGAAAAAATAAAAATGTCTATATTTTAATAATTGATAATTTTTCTTTACACGAACTTTTTTATATTTCTGATAAAAAAAAAATTTGTTACAATCATTTTCAAGGTTCATATAAATTTTTAAAAAATATAAAATTTAATTTTTTTTTTTTGCAAAAAAGTATTTTTCACCCTGAATGTAAAAATAATTATTATTCAACAAATATGAGCAAAGAGCAAATAAAATAATAAAGCAGAATAATTTATTTTGAAAATAATTCGAACAACAGTTAATTCTTTTTAAAAATTACAATTTAAGAAAATATTTATAAATTTTTTAATAATTTCTGTTGATTAAATTTAAACATCAATTTTTTTTACTTTTTAATTAAATGTCACATTTTTTTTGTTAAATTTAAAAAATTTATTATTTTATAAAATTTATAAAATAAGGACAATTATTACTTTTTTTTATTTTTTTATATTTGCAAAATAATAGAATTATTAAAAAAAAATTATTAAAGGTTTGTATATTATTTAAATAAATAAAAATTAAATTTTATAAGATTATTTTAAAAAATTGTTTTATAAAATTAAAATAAATATTAATTATTTTATAAAATATAAAATATATGATAATGAATTTTATTACCGTATTGTTACTACTTTCTGAGCCCTCTGCCAATATAAGTCTTGGGAAAATGCAACCTACAATCAAAAATAAAATTCGCCAAGAATTATTCATTTTTATTTTTTTTCCAGGAAATTTTCTAAATCAAGTTTAAGAAAATTTAAGAAAATTTAAATTGACTTTAAATTTATTTCAAATTTTGAGTAAAAATTTTCAAAAAATTTATCCTTTATATACCGATGACTTTAATGACTATTTTTAATACAGCTTTAAAAAAAGCCATTTTCAACATTCGCTATTCGTGATCATTGATAAATTTTTTTTTTTCATTTCCATTTGCAACTGATTGCAGAATTTTTTTCACTATTATTTTTATGTGCAAAATAATTCTTTTTAAATAATAAAAAATATCTTCTAACCATCGAAATATACTTATTTCTTAAAACAATTAAGACTGTTTCAAAAATACACAAATTTAAAAAAAAATTAAGTTAAAAAAAATTTTTTTTTTTATTTTTTGTTACAAAGAAATTAAAAACTTTTTTTTTCAAAATTGATTATAAAAATGTAAAAAAAATGTTAACGAATAATATTATGAATAATCAATCGGTTTTAGTTTAGAAAACCAAGACTTTTTTTTTTTTTTTTTTTTGCAAAATAACTATATATATAAATAAATAAAACAAAAAATTTAACTAACAAATTGATTTTTAACACTAGAATGGAAATAAATTTTGTTTGCTCTTGGGAAAATTATTCAAATTTGATTTATGACAAAGAAATATAATTTATTTGAATAGAAAACAATCATGAAATATTGTCAATGATTCTTAGTTTCTTAAAAATGTTATATTTTCGTAAAAATAAATAATTATTTTATTTCAACGTAGATTATCAGGTTTGGTTTAATAAAAAGAAATTTTTGTTTGCGTAGAAAAATTATTTTCAAAAATATAAATTTTTTATTTTAATATGCTATTCATTTTATACTTTTTTATTCTCTTTCCTTTTTATCGATAGCGACTGCATGTTTTCACTTCACATTAAATTTTTACAATTTTTTACAAAACGAAAAAATTTTTATAAAAAAAAAATATAATTATTTTGATAAATATAAAAGAAAAAAAAATAATACTAATAATAATAATAATAATAATAATAATAATAATAAATATAAATAAATAATAATAAAATAAAAAAAAATCCAGTTTTTAATTTTTTTATTATTAAAATTGTAAGGTAAAATAAATAACATCAAAAATATACTGATAGACTCCATTTATTGTAACAATTCGGCAGAACTTTATACAAATGTCAAGGCTGCGTAGTATAATTATCATAGAAATTAATGTTTTACAAAGAATGTTTAACAATGTCAAGAAATTATAAAATATAAAGACGCCAGAATATCTTCTTTATGTCATTTTATTTTTATCCACGTCTTCTATTTTTTCATTACCTTATACCTATCGAGAATGAAATATAATAATTAAATTTATAGAAAAAATAAAAATAAAAGAAAATTGTTGAAAAAAAATTTTTTTTTTTAAATTTTAATGGCATTTGAAACATTATAACGTCACGGTTTGTGCAAAGCTAGTGTTTTAAAGCTGTGACGTCATGATGGTTTAAATGACATTTAAAAAAAATTTATAGAAAACATTTTTTAAAAAAATTTTTATAGAAGAAATAAAAAAAATTTTAAGGGCATTTGAAATATTATGACGTCACAGTTTGTATAAAGCATGTGTTTTAAAGCTGTGAGGTCATAATAGTTCAAATGTCATTTAAAAAAAAAATTTTAAAAAAATTAAAAACAATTTTTTTTTTTTAATTTTAAGGGTATTTGAAACATTATGACGTCACAGATTGTACAAAGCTTGTGTTTTAAAGCTGTGACGTCATAATAGTTCAAATGTCATTTAAAGAAAAAATAAAAAAAAAATAAAAAAATTTTTTTTTTTAATTTTAAGGGCATTTGAAACATTATGACGTCACAGATTGTACAAAGCATGTGTTTTAAAGCTGTGACGTCATAATAATTTAAATGTCCTAAAAAAAAATTTTATTATTTAATATGAAGTATAAATAAACTTACAGAAAATATTTGACGGCAAACAGACCAGTTAGATATTTTACCTGAAAAGTATTTATTTACATAAGTTTGTTGTCAATTTAAGAAATATTCATTGAAAATCAAATGAAGAACTTATTATTGATAAACTTATTACTGCTGATTTTATTTTCTGCTCATTTGATGACACCTTTGTCGTTTTATTATTCGGCTGAAAATTAAAAAAAAAAAAATTTTAGTCTTTATTGTTTTCATGAACTAAAAGCCTAGAAGCTTTGGTATTAAAAAAAAGCAATCTTTAAGACTAGAATATATTACAAGTCGCCGTAAAGTGTAAATTAATGAGGTCTTACCTTAATTTTTTTTATATTGGTAGTCTTGGTATTATTGTTTAACTCTGATGGTTCCGTACGTGTCTCTATTATTGACTTAACGGTGATTGGTACCGGAAAACTAACATTATTTTTGACATAATCAGTCTTGTTTTTATGGAAGAACACTCGATTTACAGGCAGGAAAGATTGAGAACCATTTTCGTTTTTATACTGAAATCCATCAATACATTAAAAAAGAAGAATTATCAAAAAAAAGTCCAATGGTCGCTAATCTGACATATAATGAAACTGTACCAATAATAAAACATTACCGTCATTAAAAAAAAAAAAAAAAAAAAAAAAAAAAAAAAAAAAAAAAAAAAAAAAATTAAAGTATAACATTTAAAACATTTTATACTTAAAAAATAACATTAGTTTAAAAATTTTAATCCCAGGAACAATAAAAATCAAACTTCGCACTCCATAATTAATTTTAAAAAAGTAGCAAAAAGTAGCTTTCAAAAATAAAAAAAAAGTAGTAAAAATGTAGCTATCGAAAAATTAAACTTGACAAACAAAAAAAATCGTTTTAGATACTTCACAAAACTTTATGACAAAAATTCCATTCTATATTTTATATTCCTGACTTTTTCCTAATTTTCATCAAAAATATTTACTTCTTTCTAATTCTGCTAATAAATTGAATTCATGCAACGAATTTTTATTATTCATGAAAGAATTTAAATATTTATAAAAATAATTTAATTCATTAATTCTATCGAAGAATTTTATAAAAATGTTTAAATATTTTATTTCTTTCGACTAATTTTATTTATGCAAATTCTA